ATTTATTTTTTTAAAAAATTTTATTAATTAATTTTTTTTTTTTTTTAAATGATGACTGGTAAGGGGATCCTAACCCTTGACTTGGTGTTGTCAGCACCACGCTCTCCCAAGTGAGCAAACCGGTCATCCCTATATAGGGATCCGAACCCGTGGCTTTGGTGTTATCAGCACCACACTCTCCCAAGTGAGCCACGGGCCGACCCTCTTCCCCTTTTAAATATGTGAGAAAAACACTGGACATTACATTCTGGGATTATGCTGTTCACCACGATTACTTCTAAGGATTGGTAAAAAAGAATTTATGAAGCATCATTAGGACTTTATCAGTGGGACCCTCTTCCCCTTTTAAATATGTGAGAAAAACACTGGACATTACATTCTGGGATTATGCTGTTCACCATGATTACTTCTAAGGATTGGTAAAAAAGAATTTATGAAGCATCATTAGGACTTTATCAGTGGGTTATCCAGCAAATGGATTCTCTTGATGTGTTGGTCTGAATGTCAGTATTCTTACCTTTCAGCTTCATGTGAGTGACCTGAATAAAACCATCCATTACATGTACAAACACAGAATGTACCAAAAGGTAACATTAGCCCTGGGGGCAGCTTTGAGAGGGGTGGGAGGAAGGCAGTGGCTGTGAAGCCCTTTAACTCTGGGTATCTATTTTCTGGACAGGGTGTCTTTCTAATCACGGGTTTCCCAGGCTTAACCTTTTGTGATTCCAGGGCTTTCACTATTAGGTCCGAATCCCTGGAGCACAGACTATGGGCCTCACCCTCCCGAATTTGACCCAGTAGGTCTGGGGAGGGCCTGCAAGTTGCCTTTCTGAGTTTCCATGTGGTGCTGGTGCTGCTGGTGTGGAGACCCCACTGAGGACCACTGTTCCTAGGACTGTTCCCAGTTTTGGACAGTTGGGGAGGAAAACACCACTGTCTCATTTTCACTTTGGCCCTCTTTCACCCCTGTAGCACCCTTTATAGAGACCATGTAGGTTGGGTGTGTATCACCCAGGCTGCTGTGTCCTGGCCATGCGGTCCCCATGCTAACCATGCAGGCTGCTGCATTTGAGTGCGTTTTGCTCTTTGAAACTGGTCTTTGTCTTGGATGGTGAAACAGTTTTCCTTAGCATCATCTGGCTGCATTTTCTCTGTGTTTTTTCAACCCATAGATCATTTTATTCTATTAGCAATGAATAAATTTGGCTCCTTCTGGTTTATATGACAACAGCCTCTGTAGCCTCTGGCAGCAGCCTGTTACAGCAGCAATGCCTCCCAAAAGCAAAAGTGGAGACCTGTAAGAATGGGTGGAGAGAGCGGGCAGAGCCAAAGTAGTGTTTGTGAGGAGTCTGAGCCTGGTACGGTGTGAACCCCCCATCTCGTTCTGCCTCACAGATGGTATTCTACATTGAAGCCTGTGAGTCTGGGTCCATGATGAACCACCTGCCCGATAACATCAATGGTAGGTGGTGGGAGCTCCTGCCTCTGACGTGGAACCAAGTGCTCTGCAAAAGCATGGGCCTCCGAGGGCAGCCTGGGCTTCCTCTGCTCCTCAAGGATTAGCAGTCAGGGAATAAAGGATTGTACGACAGCTTCACAGTTCTCTTCTAGCTTCTGGAAAAGCTCCTTAAGTCCCAAACTACATGGGCTTTGGACCAGCGTGGGTCTTTTCGATTGTTGGTTGCCAGCCCTCTGATCTTGGGCAGGTGACTTACCTGCTTTGACCCTCAGTTATCCTCTTCTGTAAAATAGGGGTAAAGATAGTGCCTGTCTGTTGGGAGAGTTACATTTTAAATGATAACGTTTGTCCAACACAATTCTGAGTCTATGGTAGATAATAGCAAATGGTAGCTGTTGTATAGGTTCAGCCAATCTAAGTGTTTCTACAATAAATGTTAACTGTCTCTGAAAACTAAATTGCTAGGCCCATGTTCTTTGCATTTCCTGAGCTATTAAAATCTTTTTCGCAGCATTCTTCCAAAATAGCATGATGTCCTAAGCATGCTGTTCACTTATCGCTGCAGAAAGAGTCCATCAACTGGATTCTCTTTCTTCCACATTGAATTTTAGACGAGTTACTATAACTGAGAGGACAGGGCTGGACACAGCTACGTGTCCCTGCCCTCCCCATGCTGGTCATAGGGGGCATCTTTTGGCTTCACCAGGGGAGAGGGAAGGATTCAAGCTTCAAGTGTCACTCAAGGCAGGGGATAAAATGTGACTAAAAGATCATGTAATTCCTCATAGTTTATGCAACGACTGCTGCCAACCCCTCTGAGTCATCCTACGCCTGCTACTATGATGAGGAGAGGAACACGTACCTGGGCGACTGGTACAGCGTCAACTGGATGGAGGACTCGGACGTGGTGAGCCCTTTGGGGTGTCGGCTGTTCAGGTGAGGCCTAGCTGTCAGCCTTGATCGTCAAAGAACTTGAATGTTTTCATTTTGGCAGGAGGATCTGACTAAGGAGACGCTCCACAAGCAGTACCATCTGGTCAAATCCCACACCAACACCAGCCACGTCATGCAATATGGAAACAAAGTGAGTAGGGGCGTCGGCTCATGCTCTGCGTTCCCCGAGTCCCAGGGGGCTCTCCTGGAATATTCATTTCTTGGTGGAGAGGGAGACAGGATCCAGGAGAACAGTTGGCAGGATGGCTCTGTCTCTCATCCTTCTCTATCCCGGGGACCATGCTGGGCTTTGGAATTAGGCCTCACTAGGTTCAAACTCGCAAAGTGGGACCTTGGGCAAGCTCCTGAGCCTCTCTGAATCTCTGCTTCCTCATACAAGGTAGCTTGGAGCACGAGAGTAGGCTGTGCCTTAAAAACGCTAAACACAGGCCTTGCGCACAGTGAGAGGTTACCAGACCAAAAGCTTCTCCTTTACTTTTTGTGGCACTGTCTCATAGAACCCCACACCTGAGACTTTCTGGGGTCCTGCCTCCTTGCAAGATGCAGGTTGTTACCTTCACCCTTTGGCTATAAATTGCAAACATTTTATTCCTCCTTCAACTACGTCCAGAAGGGACCTAGGTGGTTAAATAGGTAAGTTCACTGGGGCTCTCTGGACAGTGTCACAGTGGGTGACTGCTGAAGCCTTGGGCCCTAAGTGAAGCCACTGGGGCTAGCCCTTGGTATGTGCAAACACCATAAAAAATGTGTACAGTGCCTGTCAGTAGTCCCTGTGCCTGTACTTTGTACCCAAGCACCCCATCGCCATCTGAGATCTGTTCCTTGGGCACAAGCATCGGCCTTCTAGAAGAACTTGGGAGTCAGTAAATCCAGCTGTCTTCAACCCTTTGTGGCAGAGTGTGGGGTGGGGGGCCGGTGAGCCTGTGACCCAGCAGGGCAGTCACAGGACACGAGGTGGGCACTCAGGACACCGTGACCTGGCCAGGCATTTGAGTGGGCTCAGGAGAGAATGGAGCAGAGAGAAGGCAAGGGAAAGGTCCCTCAGGGAAGACAGGGTCAGTGAGGTGCTGCCCTGGCTGTGGGGGGCAGTGCTTTGGGTTTTCCATTCTCTTTTCAATATACTCAGATATCCTCAGCATTGGGCACTTCTGGTTTTAGCTGAGGAGTTGTGATGTCTTTTCCAAACCTTATGTTTTTATATGTGTGTGTGTTTTACTTTCTGTTTTAGAATTCTTTTTGGACTATTGTTGCTTGGTTTGGGAACAAAAATGCTTGCAGCACTTCTAGCCCTCTGATTGGGAGCCAGTCTGTAGTGGCCTCTGTGGGCACACAGAGCCTGGCACTTGTGCCCATTTGTTAGACCCTGACACTGAGTGTCAGCCCGGCCTCTCAGTGGCCTTAGCTCTGCCCTTCTCAGTGTACCCAAACTCCAGCTCTGGTCTGGACAGATGCTTTGTACCTTACTACAGTCGTTAGGGACAGGCAGGTGAGCATGGTGGGGTGAGCACAGTCTGGGGCACCACAGGGAAACGGCTGTGGTCCAAGCTCTGTGTGACCGCATCAGGGGTTACCTTCCCTATGAGAGAGAATAGCAGTTCTGCTGTGAAGCATGCCAGGCCATTCTGAAGTTACTGGTCAGTAGATTTCAGGTACTGGGATATCGCCTTGCCTACTGCTAGGGGCTGACCACATGTTTTCAGGCTGTGACTGTGGCCCTTCAGTGGTCCCAAAATCTTGAGGAGTGAACTGTGAGCCTCTTACAGAGAGGTGGACCCGGGCTACGTCAAGCACATCTGCTCTTCCCACCCAGACCAGCTTTCTCTCACTCTCTCTCCAGTCAATCTCTGCCATGAAAGTGATGCAGTTTCAGGGTATGAAGCACAGAGCCAGTTCTCCCATCTCTCTGCCTCCAGTCACACACCTGGATCTCACTCCCAGCCCTGAGGTGCCCCTCGCGATCATGAAGAGGAGATTGATGAGCACCAATGATCTGCAGGAGTCCAGGCAGCTTGCTGAGAAGATCCAGTGGCATCTGAACGTGAGTGTGGTGGAAGCAGCCATTCCCAGCCGCTGTTCTCTGCCTCGGCACTTGGCAGGCACGAGCATGGTCCCGGCCTCCTGACCATTATCCAGTGTTGCTCAGAACTGGGTGACAGAACTCTGGGGTCACCCTTCCCCCAGCCACATGGGAGCATGTGGGACAGGAAACCAGCCTTTTCATTCCATGTAGAGTAGAAGCCAGTGAGCAGAGCAGGGGCTGTCTTCATTCTTCATCAGTAATTGACCTTGACCTCTTTGGTAGTGGAGAGCAGAGGAATGGGGGTCCATCTCCCCTGCATCCTGTAGCCTTTTCATTCCATGTAGAGTAGAAGCCAGTGAGCAGAGCAGGGGCTGTCTTCATTCTTCATCAGTAACTGACCTTGACCTCTTTGGTAGTGGAGAGCAGAGGAATGGGGGTCCATCTCCCCTGCATCCTGCCAAGAAGCCATGGCACATGGGTATCTCCCCCATTTATGCTTTGTTGCTTAGAGGACATTTATTGGCTAATCTTATTTTTTTAAAAAAATCCAATCTACAAAAGTTTCTCTTATCTCAAGAAAATCATAGTCATCTCATAAAATTCTGTCTTCCCCATTTATGCCTTGTTGCTTAGAGGACATTTATTGGCTAATCATATCTTTTTTTTAAAATCCAATCTACAAAAGTTTCTCTTATCTCAAGAAAATCATAGTCATCTCATAAAATTCTTCCTAAAATGCCTTAGCTGTCATTTACAATTACTGAGGCTGTTCTCAGTAGCTCATCGTTTGTTTGGAACTGGCAAAATTCCTTTTAAAATAATAGCTGTGCACTCACTAACATATTGGGCAAAAGGGCCGCCTGTCCCTTCCTGCAAAGCCAGCTCTGTGTTAACTCTGGTCCCCTTCATCAGCACATCACAGTGACTGATGGACTGAAACACGGGCTGAATTTTTCAGGGAAGATAAAATTTGCGTGGTTTGTTTTAAGTGCACAGCACATATCTAATCATGCTGAAAGTTATTACCCCATGTGTGACCACCTTATTAACTAGGTCATATTTTTAGCTCGTGTCAAACACAGTAATACAGTGCTCCTCTTATCTTTTAGTCTTGGGCCTCTTTTCACTTTTTTTTTTTTTTTGTAAAAGATGACCGGTAAGGGGATCTTAACCCTTGACTTGGTGTTGTCAGCACCACGCTCTCCCATCTGAGCCATGGGCCGGCCCTCTCCTTTCACTCTTTAAATTATTGATCCCAAAGAGTTTTTGTTTATGGTGGCTTATGTCTATTGGTATTTATTGTATTAGAAATTAAAATGAGATAGAAGGGCATTTTGTCCTTATTCTTTTGGAAGTTCATAGAAACTAAACCAGAGTTTTTGTGTTTGCTTGAATAACTGTATAAATCATAGGATTTCTATGGTATCTCCTGCAAATTTGAAAACTTCTCAGCTTACATACTTTTTATTGGATTCAACTTTCCCGTTAACTATTGCATAATTACCTTTTTATGTAAAATAAAAGATTGTTATAAAGAAACTAAAACAGATTTAAAAAATAGTTAACTTAGAAATAGCAATAAAATTTGGGTTAATGTATTTCTTATGAAAAATAACCATTTTCCAAAACAAGAACAATTTTGGTGAGAAGTGCAACACCGATTGCTTTATGTTTTTGCAAATCTCTTTTGTGCCCTGCATAATAGAAGACAGCTGGAGCCTTGTACCTGCTTCTTCATTCTCTCTGTTGGGCTCTGTTGTTTTGGCTGAAGTATATGAAGAAATCAGCCTTGCAAAGATACATAGTTGAGAAGGGGAAGACCTTACAGAGCCCGCGAGAGCTCTTGGGGATCCCCTTGTTTCTGGACCATACATTGGAACGTCTGGTCTAACACACAGTGGGCAGTGAGTCTTGGTGGACTTCAGACGTGAAGGAAACAAATGTGGCTGGAGAGGGGGTGGGACAGAGGATTGATCATGAACTTCTATTGATGGAGAAGCAGGTTCCTGTTTGTGATACTGTTTTTTATCTGGGAGGAAAACAACACCCCCCCTTGGTGCCCCACTGTCTAACCACTTGATGGGTTTCCTGAACAGGCAGAAGTGCCATTCACGGGACAGTAGTCTAGTTTGGGACACAGGTTCTTAAACCTGCTTTCTTCTGAGTGGGCCAGCCTGCTCTTGAGGTATTTAGAGATAAGTGTTTCCGTCATGCCAGAAGGTCAAGGTGTTTCTGGCTGTCACAGACGCTTTGCGTACACATCTTTTACTTTCCCCAGAGTGCACTTCTTGGCATCTGTTTTAACTGGCTGGGGGCTGGGGACTGTGTAAAGAGATGTCTTCAAACGTGCTTCTAACCACTCTCCCCAGGCTCGGCAGGTCATCGAGAAGGCGGTGCACAAGATTGTGGCCATGCTGGCGGCGTCCGAGGCCGAGATGGAGAGCCTCCTGTCCGGCAGAGCCGCGCTCACCCAGCTCGGCTGCTACGAGGCGGCCGTGGCGCACTTCCGCTCGCACTGCTTCAACTGGCACTCTTCCACGGTGAGCCCGCGCCCGCCACCCAGCTCCAGAGGCCGGCCTCCTGCTGTCCACCGCAGGTCACATCAGGCACGGCACCTCGGAGAAGGGTCCGTCCAGGCTGAGGCAACACTCGGCTCATTTCAGAGGCCTTTGAGGAAGTGAGAGGAATAAGGATGTCCAAGTTCACTGACCATAAATCTTGGCCCCAGAACATTCCTACTGTCCCAGAGGACGAGAGAGTTTACTGGAGTCATATGGTAACTCCTATTGGTAGTGGGCTTTGAAGGCCAGTTACTGCTGTTCACACCAGTTACTGCTGTCCCTGCCAGACCCTGTCCCTTACCCCTGCTCTTCACCCCAGGCACATGTGTTTTCTCCCTGTTGGGTCTCTTCTGACCTTTCCCCAAGATTTATTGTTGAAGTCAGGTTCTGGTCCATGGAGAAGAAAGTACCAAGTTTCTACAGACTGTAGAATGTCAGGGTTGGAAGGTACCTAAAAAGCCTTCTGAGGGGCCGGCACGTGGCTCACTTGGGAGAGTGTGGTGCTGACAACACCAAGTCAAGGGTTACGATCCCCTTACCAGTCATCTTAAAAAAAAAAAAAAAAGCCTCTGCTCAGTACATGTGATGGCTTAGATCCTTCTAGAGAAAGGTTGGCCTGTTTTTGCACATAGAGTTTTATTGGAGCACAGCCACGTTGCACTCGGTTACCTATTGTCCATGGCTGCTTTCACCATAGGGCTGAGTTGAGCAGTTGAGATAACTACTTTTATACCCTCTGGTCTTGCTTTTTTGCCCTCTGACATCACACAAAGTGAGTCTATTCCTTCTTCCTTATGAGAGTTCTCAGGTACCCCTGGGATATTTTTAAAGATAAACATCCCTGGTCATTTCAGTCTTATCTGCTGTGATCCAGCTTGGCATTCACATACCATCTATCTTCCTTATCAGTGTGTCCCTCCCAGAATGAGGTTCCTAGAACCAAAAGGCAGACTTCCAAGGGAGGTCTCAGGTAATAGGGTGGACAAGGCCATGTGGAGTTCTCGATCAGGACGCCTAACCTCAGATTGAGAGTACCTTAGGAGGACTGCCAGCCCTGTGGTTGTGTGCAAACTCTTGCATATGTGCATTTTTCATGGGAAGTAGTCCGTAAATATCACCAGATTATCGAAGGCAGGGAGGGGATCCATGCCCCCAAAAAGGTCGAGAACCACTGGCCTCGATGCTTTACCTCTGCAGCTGCAAAAGCAGAGTATTCCCAAGTTAAGAGCTGATCATTTGGTGAGGAGATGGTGTTTGATTCTGTCTTTTTTGTTTGTTTTCTTCCAGTATGAGTATGCTTTGAGATATTTGTATGTGCTGGCCAACCTTTGTGAAAAACCTTATCAAATTGACAGGTAAGTCAGCACATGGCATTTGAAAGATCAGTGTCATTCTGAGAGTAGAAGGGAGCGGCACGGCTGTCCTTTTCTGCAAGTGGGCAGTTTTGCCTTCTGCCAGCTACTCCCTCCAGCTGTGTTCTAGAGACATTTGCCAGTGGAATCCAGAATAGCTGCATTCTCGGTGATGATGGGTTGGGTGGATATGGCATTATGACTCCCTGCTCCCTGCTGGATTATGTTTGTCTTAATTTCTCCAGAGTTGACATAGCTCATCAAATCCTTCTTCCTGTCTCTTACAGCATAAAATTGTCCATGGACAAGGTGTGCCTTCTTCACTACTGAAAAGCTGCCTTCTGCAGGCTTTTCCAGTGCGGACACCAGCCCTTAGGACGTGTCCTAATCAGTGCCTGAGAGGTGAGCGAGCAGAAGTTCGCCTGGCTGCCGCTGCTAGGCCCTTGGGGGCCTCACTGCAGGCTTTTTCTTCTCAAGATGACAGACGTGTCCTAATCAGTGCCTGAGAGGTGAGCGAGCAGAAGTTAGCCTGGCTGCCGCTGCTAGGCCCTTGGGGGCCTCACTGCAGGCTTTTTCTTCTCAAGATGACTTGCTCGCAATTGCCTACATCCCCAGGCTTCTACAGGACATATGCAGGAGGCTCTGGAAAAGCTTACATGTGTGAAGCTCCAAAAAAACTGAATTTGGGTGGGTAAGGCTCTGTGTTGAAAAGGTATATTTGCTTTTTAAGAGGGTTTTTTTTGCCTATTAGTTTTAAAAGGCAAGAAGTTCATGGGAGCCAGTGACAGAGTGTTTATTCTGAGAAATTTGAAGCTGAAGTCTCCTTAAGTCTTCAAAATGATTTTATTGAAGAGGACCCTAAGCCTCAAATGGAAAACTATTTTTAGAAAATATTATAATTTTTGATTGCTTTTGTATTTTATCGTGTAATAATGTTCAAGTCTTAAAACATAAAGAATTATAACTGAACCTGAGCATTAACTTCTGGCCCTGACTTTGTAGTTCCTGCTCCTGGCCACCCATCCCCCTCTCCCATCGGTCTGTCCGGGCTCATCTCCTCCCGTCCTCCCTCCTCTACTCTGGTCCTTCTACTCTTCTGTGCTCCCTGCACTTTTCAGCCTCCTGTGCCTTCGCTGCTGCTGATCCTCTTGCCCTGGAATGCCTCCCCCTTCATCTCCATGGATCCTCGAGGTGTATTTTAAAAGTGCCCCTTCTGGGCCGGCCCGGTGGCGCACTCGGTAGAGTGCGGCACTTGGGAGTGCGGTGGCACTCCCGCCGAGGGTTTGGATCCCATATAGAGACCGGTCCGCTCACTGGTTGAGCACGGTGCGGGCGCAACACCGAGGGTTGCGATCCCGTTGCCGGTCGCGGTATGGGCGCGACACAGAGGGTTGAGATCCCGTTACCGGTCACGAAAAAAGACAAAAAGGAAAAAAAAAAAAGACAAAAAGGAAAAAAATAAATAAAAAAAGTAAAATTGCCCCTTCTTCCTGGAACCTTCCTCAAATTCTCCCTTTCCCCATGAAAAATTGTTTTAATTTCGAATTTTTAAGATAGAGAGCCCTCATTCAGAGATTAGGAGAGATACAAGATGGAAATGAAGGTTTAATTACTTACATGGCACTCCTGGAGGCCACACACATGGAAGTCAGGGAGCACATGAGAGAGGGACTGGTGGGCTAACACCTTTACTGGGTCCAGGGCGATATCCAAACAGGTTTCCCATGGGGAGTTTTAATTGGTTTAGAGCGAGCAGGCACAAGCTCCAGGAGGTCACACTGTGACTGGGAGGTGGTCACTGGCATATCTGCACAGTGCACCCAGGACATGGGGGTCAGCAGGGCCAGTCAAGCAGGCTGCTCCATAGGAGGTGGTCACTGGGAGGAAGTTGTATAAGGCAGATACCTGGATCAACCACATTGAGGAACTGAGAAAACGTGTAGAAACTAGAAACTGTCCTGATAACACCAAGATCCAGAGTTTGATTCCTGTACCAGTCAGCTGCAAAAAACTCACAAAAACCCAAATAATGAAAGTGACAACTATGTCAAGGGTGACTGAGCCCTGCTTCTGGTATAAGAAAGTCCACCTCATATTCAAAATGGGTGCCGAAGCAACATAACATTATAAGAATTCAGTACAGAGTGCTGCCTTCTCTGTCCATGTGCTCTCACAGCATGCGTGAGGGTCTGCCCCTGTGCCAGGTGTGGAGGTGGCACGTCTCACTGCAGGCCGTGAGCTCCTCAAGGGCAGAGGCTGGCTGATTTGTCTTTGTTTCCCCGGGCACTGATGGGTTTGTCCTGTTAAGGACATGTAAAAGTAACGACACCCACGCAGTGGGATATCGTGTAGCAGTAAGAAGGGATGGCATGCATGTACATGCCACAACGTGAAGCTGATTGAAAGAAGCCAGTCACAGAAGACCACGGACTATGTGAAGTGTCCAGAGTAAATCCACAGAGACGGAAAGCAGAGTAGCAGTTCCAGGGACTAGGGAGAGGGGAAAATGGGGAGTGACTGCTAATGGGTATGAAGTTTCTTTCTGGTTGACAAAAATAAAGCTAATTGTGGTGATGGTTTAAAACCTGAGTATATTAAAAACTATTGAATCGTACACTTTAAATGGGGGAGTAGTTATGTGGTATGTGAATTATGGTCTCAGCTTTACTAGATGAGCCATCTACTATAGCTAGATGGCTGCTTAGATGGATAGGGAGAAAGCAAAGAAAAAACACTAAACCCTGACACTTCTGACCGCCTGTCTGTACACCTGTCAGGTTGAGCAGTGATTGATTATGTGAGCATTTGGAGTTTGGGACTGGAAGTTGAGATACTGGCAAATAGGGTTGTGTTTGTGACTAGTTCAAGGGTGATACTTTTGTTTCTGATGGGCCCATTTTTCATCAGCATAGATAATCCTTTCTCAGTGAGGTCCTCATGGATAATGAATGACTTTAGGGTACTGAACTTCACTGTCCTACAGATTGGGTGGGGCTCTCAGGATTTAGGAAACAAGTACAAACAGCCGCAGCATTTGTGGTTGCTGTATCGCAACAGAGGGCTGATGCTCAAAGAAAAGCAAATACTGGGAAGTAGAACGTTTAAAGGGAGAATCTCGGGAGCCCCCCGCCCTACCCCCCCACCTTTGCATCCAGCCCTGCAACAACCAAGCCACCATCGGAACCCCCCAGGCTCCCGAGCTGGAGTAGGGGGAGCCCTGGGCCAGCCCTGCCCACCCCCAACCAGCTCCACCTCTGTTCCCCTCTCCCACCCCCTCCCACTACTCTGCAACATCTTTGAATGTAAAAAAAATAATAATAATAAATAAAAATAAAATAAATAAAGGGAGAATCTTAAAAGGCCTTAAGGGACAGGTGGTAAAAAGTCTTTGTCTGTTTTCTAGAACCGTTAATTGCTGTTATGACCCTACTTCTCTTTTTTTATTTGTCCCCCCTGTAGAATGAAAGTATACCTAACTTTTTTTTTCTTTTTTTCCTTTTTGTCTTTTTTCGTGACCGGTAACGGGATCGCAACCCTCGGTGTCGCGCCCGTACCGCAACCGGCAACGGGATCGCAACCCTCGGTGTTGCGCCCGCACCACGCTCAACCAGCGAGCGGACCGGTCTCTATATGGCATCCGAACCCTCGGCGGGAGTGCTGCCGCGCTCCCAAGCGCCGCACTCTACAGAGTGCGCCACCGGGCCGGCCCAAAGTATACCTAACTTTAATAAATACAGACATTTATTATTATTTTGTTTGTTTTATTTTTATTTTTATTTATTTATTTATTTTTTTGTCTTTTTCCGTGTCCGGCAATGGTTCGCAACCCTCGGTGTCGCCCCCGCACCGGACCGGGACCGGCAACGGGATCGCAACCCTCGGTGTCGCCCCCGCACCGCAACCGGCAACGGGATCGCAACCCTCGGTGTCGCGCCCGCACCACGCTCAACCAGCGAGCGGACCGGG